GTGGCACATTCTCAGCACAGTGAATAAAGAAGTCAACAGTACATTTATGAAGAAAGAAAAGGCAAAAGAGTATTTTAAAGATATCTGTTATAGTACATTTAGCATTGCACTATCCTTCTTATAAAAATGCACTTAGTTTTACTTGTTGAGAATAAGGTGAGCATTTACAAGTCTCTCTGGGTATACAAATACTAACTGGTATCTATGGCTCCTGGCAGTGATATCCACAGGCAAATTACATTGTGACTAATTTACTCCACGAGTTGTCCCTCAAGATTTAATTCACTGTTTATAAGAATTTGAAATATCCAGGTAAAAATACCACAGACTTAAAAATATCAGTTTCAAATTTTTCAACCACAAACACACATACCAAATATATTGGGGGGTGGGCAAACTGTAGCCACAAAGATACCTTCAACTGCCAGACAATTTAGATGGGGCACCTGAAGTAAAAAGAAATAGCTAACTAAAAACATTTCTTTCTCTATTGTTTTACTATTGATTTTTGATTCTTCTCATTTAACAGAAAATTAGTATTTGATCTGAGGCCCTGTGTGCAGATCTCACCAGTTTGTGTCCTCTGGCTCTCAGCTTTGCTAAGATAGCAAGCAGGGTTAGCCTTGCAGCTTGAAGGGTTAGGAAGTTTGGCCACCTCACTGTGTGTGTGCGCGCATGCGCGCACACACACACACAGAGGCATATGCATATGACATACATATATGTATACGTGTGTGTGTATGTGTGTGTGTGTATAAAGCTTGTTATACAAAAATGCATGTGTAGAGTGACAAAGATGGATAAAATGAGGAATACTTACAGCAAAGTATCAGTGAAGGTAGTAGAGGCATCTAAGAAAGTGCAAGAGAGGAGACTGGCATGCCATGGGCATGTGCAACGGAGTCTGGAAGAATATGTGGGAAAAGAAAGGCACTACCAGGGAGAAGAGAAAGAGGAAGACTGAAGATGAGATGGAGTGAGATAGTGAGGAGGGACATGAGAGAGAAGGAGTTGGAAGAAAAAGATATGTATGACTGAGCCAGGATCTGCAAGAGCAACCCCATTTAGATGGAACAAGAGAGGGAAGAAGAAGAAAATACAAAGTTTCCTGACATACATTCCTTTATAAGAAACTTTTTGTTTAAGAAGCTTTAGATAAGACTTTTCTAATACATACACACACCATATTTTCTTGCATATAACACTCACTTTTTCCCCCAAAACCAAGTGCTGGAAACTGGAGTGTACAATACAGTAGGAGTACTTTCTACTGCTTATGGGGTAAAACCAAAGTAAAATCTAGGATCCACAGGGAGCGGAACAGTGATCAGGTTTGGCTTCCTATCTGCTGCTACTCAGGTATTTATTACAAGTAGACATCTTTTTTTCTTTATTCTGCCTATCAAAAACAAGGTGTGTATCTTATTCCAGGGTGTAGCGTATGCAAGAAAATACAGTAACAGATACATATATACTTATGTCAGAAACTAGCTGTTGAGCTCTGGATGCAAGGAGTGTTCTAAAACAGAACAATACAAATTATATGGGTATATCTGTATATCTATATCTAGATACAGATACAGATATTTATGCTTCCTGCATTTCCTCTGGCTTCCTTCTCATGTACTATACAGAAGCTATGGAAGCAAAAAACATTGTCCTTGCCAGGAGCTGGTTATTCTACTTTAACTTTTTAAAACTAATTTCTAGTTATTCCCTCTCAGAAATGCTAAAATAGAAAAATAGACACTTAGCTCTTAACAATAGAATTGTATATTTTACACGTACATTGACAACATTTTACAGAAGCAGGACATTGGCTGCCATGCTTTCCCTGCTTTACCAGTGGCAGGTTAAGGTGCTGGGTCTATGCTGTGTCAGGGTTGAGGGTGGTCTTATGCATAAGCTTAGATTATGCTTGTATGGGATGGTTTGGATAGGGATCCTGCCTCAGGCAGGGGGTTGGACTAGATGATCTCTGAGGCTAAGGACAGACATTCAAAAAGCCCGAACCTGAATTGATTCAATCTTTGCAGGTTAGTCTAACCTGCAGAGATTGAACCAATTTGCAAGTGAATAGACATTCCCTTTTGATTCTGGAAATGCAGGCATATGTCTACAGTGGCTCAGGCCAGAAGCTGGTGGATGCTAGAAGGAGCCCTCCCTTCCCTTCTGCAGCAACTGCAGGGCTGGAGGGAAGCTGAACGGGGGCGGTGGGGGGAAGGGGAGGGTGGCCAGGCTAGGGTGGCCATCATAAAGGACAGTCCAGTTGTCCTCTGTCCTCTATTGATACGAAACCCGATGCCTTTATGCCCTCTATTTTTCTCTTCAAGAAAAATAGAGGGCAGAAAGGTGTTGGGTTTTGTATCAACAGAAGACAGAGGACAGAGGACAGAGTAGCAGAAAACTGGAATGTCCTCTGATGGCCACCCTAGACCAGGCCCCAGCAGGCTGCTAACTAAGATTAGGGAGGGGTTTAACACCCCACCCTGGCCTACAGGGACCCTAGCCAGGGTGTGCTTGGGGGAGGAGGGGGGAAACAGCCCTTGCCAGGCTTGTCCCCAAGCCGGGGGGCATGGCCAGACACCAGCCAGGGCAGCACCTCAGGCAAGAGAGGCAGGTGAAGCAAGAAGATGGTGGGGCCATGATGGCTGGTCAACTCTGGCCATGCCACTGCCCCTGCCACTGAAGAGGGGGGGAGTTACCCTGACAGGGACTGCTCTGCCTAGCCAGGCAGACCCCAGATGTGGTTCCCAGGGGGAGAGGGTAGGTAGTGGGGAATAAACTCCCTCCCTGCCTTCTTAGCTTTAGGGAGCCATGCCAGGCTAGTGTCTGGCCAGACCCCCACCCCTGCTCCCACTAGAGAGCAGAGGGGCGGGGTCAGCCCTGCCATCTGGAGCAGACAGCACAGACTAGCCCACAGTATGAAATTTATGTGTGAATAGCTAAATCACATTAACAAACATGTACATGCACCAATGGACATCAAGACAATGTGTATCCATTGACGTGGGACTCACTTTAGTCCCATGTCAGTCCACCCACCCACGTCAAAATGTATTAGCGCATGCACATGTAGACAAATGCCTAAATCACTTTAATGCGCATTAGGCTAATGCACATTGAGTTTAGGCACGCGTAAAAGCACGTGTAGACACACCCATTCATAACAGTAGAACTATTAATTCAATATTTAAAGCAACAGGTAGTAAAACATCTTCAGTTTATCATACATGCCTTTCTTTTGTGTGTTTACTTGGTTGTGTACCAGTAGTAAAACGCATATCTATTTTCCAGCAATACACCCTAAATGAAACTATTTGGCAAGAATTTATTAGCAAAAGCTAATATTTTTTCACTTGCACAATGCAGTTACTGGGCCAATCACGCTAAATCATTTCTTAGTGTTACATCAAAAGCTGAAAAGATGTGTTACATGTAGTTTTCTTTAGCCTTAGGTACTCAAAAAGATGGCTAAACTACACACTTCTTTAATCCCACATCATTTAAAACAATGCTCCCTGAACTGTTTCAACTGAATATACATAGTGGCAGACCCAGAATAGGTTCTTTTGCATTTGAAAGTCCAATTAGTATTATTACAACATTCTGGATTCTCAGGGCAAAATTCTTCCCATAAATGCACATTTAATTGTTTGGGAATAGTAGGCATGATATTCTTAAATACTGATATGCAAGACTGGAGGGAGCAGCACTGTCTTTCAGTAGTCCATTGAACAATGTTTCAAGAAGTTTCAATGAATCACAGTAACCAAATATAATCTCAGAATGGCATCCAAAGTTTCCAAAATGCATTCTTTTAAAGGAAAGTTCTGTTGGTGCTACTGCCTATGCAAATTAAGAGACTGTTAAAAAAACAGCAATTTCATGTGAGAATAAGCAATGGGATTAAAAGAGTTTTTAAGAAATAAAAAGCATGTCTTCAGACAAAGTAACGAGAAACATTTTACATAAACATAGAATCGCTTTGGAACAGGTAATTTTATTTTCAGTTTTCCATAAAATACTGCGATTCAGAAAGTCTTTCCCTCCAGCAGCCAGAGAGTTCAGCAGCCAAAGACAATATGGTAGATTTATGTCTGTGGGCAGTGAAGGTTTCAACCTAGACGTCCATGGCATTTTGATGCAGGAAAAAATATTGCCTAATAAAGCATAGCCCTTCGATCTTGAGTATTCCTACTGCTTATCATTTCAACAATAGCTGTGGAAGAGAGAAACCTTTGGAAGGAGAAGTCAGAGGTGGTCATATGACCTTTTTGAAAGAAGAGGAATTCAAGACAGCCATATCCAACAGTGTCCTAAATTTAAAGGTAAATGCTGAAGCTTTAGCAGAGATAGGTTGAAAGATGGAGGAGTGTCTGACATTTTACAGACAGACATTTCTGCTGCATCCCTGTGTTTCTTTTGCAAGAACTGAACAGTTTTTGTAATCATCATTTTATAATCTAAAAAGGACCAGAGTTCCTTAATTACCTGAATTTTAAACATGCTATTACAAGGCTAACGACAGCTGCAGAGAAAACATGAAATCCTGAACTAATGTCCTTGCAGTCTAAAGGCAGACAAGGTTCTTTGGGTAAATGTGATATCTTTTATTACACCAACTAAATAGTTGGAAAAATTGTTCTCTGCAAGCTTTTGGGTACAGACACAGGCTCTCCCTGTGCCTGAAGAAGGGTGTTTGTACCCGAAAGCTTGCAAAGAACAATTTTTCCAACTATTTCACTGGTCTAATAAAAGATATCACATTTACCCAAAGAATCTTGTCTGCATATGTCCTTAGACCAACACAGCTACAACCAACAGCCCCAAAACTTGCAGTCCAGAAGCATTTCACTTCTGCTGTCAACACACAACAGCAGCTCAGCCAGTCTAAAACCCTTCAGGTTGAGGTACCAGGTAGAGTATAACAAAGAGTTAAATTATACAGCAAAGTGCAAAAAACGTCAAGACAAAAAGGTTCTCTTTTTCATGCTTACCCTTAGGGCCTTTGAACAGCTTGATCTCTACAACAGTCTCCAGAATAGGTCTTCTTCGACGAACATACAATCGCACAATGGAACCAGCCTCTTTTAGTGCCTCCACTGCTTTGCTGTGCGAGACTTCCGACACATCAAACTCATTCACCCGCAAGATACAATCATTGACCCTGCAAGGAAGAAAAAGAGCCAAAGATGTAGCAGGCTGCAACTGTTATTTTGAAATTAAGCACAATTCATTTGGTTGGTACCCTTATAAACTGAGCATCGCCTGCCAGGGATGCTTGTCAGTTCACAGGTCCAATGTAATGCATTCAGTAATTTCACAGGTTGACAGTAGATGATTAGCACACTTTGTCTGCTGAAAATGGCACACCTGGTTTTATCGGCAAGCTTAATCATTTGCACCCATGAATTACTGACTGGGTTTCCAAGGTTTTACCACAGTGAACCAAATAATAATAAATTTCCCTTCTGGTTCCTTGTGCTGCCTTCATCCTCTGTAGAGAAAGTCTTTTTTTAATGATCATGAAGTCACAGTGCGCATTATTAGCACTATGTTTATTCTAAAGGAAATCATTATTTATGCTAAAACACAAAAGCCAATAACCGTTCTTCATTCAAATCCCTCCTGAAACTTCATCTCTTGCATGCCTGCCAGTTTTACATCACTAAAGTAAAAAATTACTGTTACGCATAAATCAGATATTTAAAAGCCAGTAATGTTCATTGCTAAATAAATCCTTTGAGTAAGATCTCTTTTTGCTTATGTTTTCCTAATGGCTGTTTCAGTTTTAAGGCCTGTGGGGTAGCTTTGTTTCTGCAGCTAAGTTTGTACAATTCTGAGCAAACTGTTTCTCTTACAGTCTTATACAGCCACAATTACCACAGCATCTGCAAGAAGTCTTTAATGGATTTATCCTCGGAAAATGTTTCTGTTGCAGGGAATCAGAACTCGTTGTAGAAGTAATATCTTTTATTAAACCAACTAGATTTTTGCAAAAAAAAATCTTGAATTGCAAGCTTGCGGGCACAAGCACCCTTTTCAGGCATAGGAGAAAAGACTGTAAAAGTTCTCCCAGGTAGAAATGAAAGTTCATATTTCATAGGAGATTTGAAGGTGTGGTAAAATCTCCTGTTTGGAACAGTTCATTTTATATGCAGATAAAGTTCGGTTGCAGGGAAGTACTATTATCCCCAAGTTATGGACGGGGAACTGAGGCATGGAGTTTCTGACGATGTCTAACCACAGATTTACCGTGCCAGACAGCAGCACCCCCAAACACACCACTTATGGGGGCTAAATCCTGCAATTGGAAGCAATGTACCAATCTTTCCACCACTGTAAGGGGCAGGCTAATTTGCATGGCCACTCAGCAATCTATAGTCATGCATGAGCAGAACGATATACAGCTTCCTGGTCAGGGGGTAGTCCATACAGAGCAGTACAGGACAGTGTGTTTAATTGACCTGTTGCCCAGCAAAGGCCACATCAACCCTGCAAACCTGTTCCTAGTATCATAGTGCTTAGGGTCGGAAGGGACCTAAACAGATCATAAGGTCTGACTCCCTGCTCCAGGCAGGAACGGGTGCCGGCGTCATATCACCCCAGCCAAATATCTGTCCAGCCTCCTCTTGAAGACCCCCAGGGTAGGAGACAGCACCACCTCCCTTAGGAGCCCATCCAGAGCCTGGCAGCCCTAACTGTAAAGTAAAAGTGACATTGTTGAAGTTCAGATAGAAGATCTGCAATATGAAGGGAAACTGAATGCACATTTCCCGAGAACCGGGTGGGCACTTTCACCACAGGACTATTATTCTTCTGTCTGCAGTTAATAAATAATAATTGCAAAGGATTCTGAAGAAATATTTAATAACTGCTGATATTAAAATTATCTGGTATCGCATATATAAGCTGCTTATGGCTGTCAGTTATGCTGTGAACTACCCTACACTACTTCTACTGGTTACAAGTAAACTTCTAAAGTCATCACCCTTCCTTTGTTATACCAGCCCCACAGTTTTGCTGACCCTTACAGGTCAATGGATGAAATTAGAGAGTATGATGTGTAAGCACAGAGGTACTAGAGTGACATACATGGCCTGTAAGTTGCCTGCCGTTTTGCATGACTGAAAGCAAGATGTATATACACACACAGCATACAAGAAACAAAGCTGAAATGGCAGCACTTGACCACAAAATAGAGAACGCAGGAAATATTCCAGTTGAGCGCATGTTTTTATATTTGATGTTTCAATCTGGAATCTGCTTATTCCTTTGTAGCATTCACACTTTGGAGCAGGATATTGTATCATGTGCTCAGAAGTTCTGCCGGGCTGAGGGGTATGGAGCATTACTAAAGTATAATGGGCTTGCCAGAAGCAGAGAGAGGTAGTTAGCCATGCTAGTCTGAAGTCAGGAAGAATGAAGGATAGAGGGATTACTTGGACTAATTCCCTAATAAAAGGATGTTTTAGTGTTCCTTGGGAGTTTTATAAAAAGTCTTTGGAACCAATATCATACCATAGAGTCAGGGTTTTGGAGGAAAGAAAACTTAGAGAGGAAAACTTTAATGTTACTTTTAACTGGCAGTTATTCTGACTTAGAAACAAGATGCACAATTAAAGGTTCCCTAATGACAGAGATCCATGCATGTGTAGTTTCTGGTTTTCATTCAAGAGCTGTATTTTCTGCTTTGCTTCAGTGCCAGAAATATTAATTTTCCAAATGTATAATTGTATTTTGTTTGGTTTGGCTGCCAAATTAACAGGTGCACTAATTTAAATTACTTTTTACCCCCCTTTGTAAATGAATCATTAATGCATCTTGTCATTGCTTTCTTTTTTAGAGAGACTAATTATTGAATTCCTGCTTCATCTTTCCCAACTTTTAATATCATTATGTTTGTAATACAATTGACATATACAATGAAAATATATCATTCTACTCAGTAAATGACTAGCAAAAAAAGAAAAAAAAGACTCTTAAAGCTCCCCACTAAAATGGGCTAAGAATTAAACTGTTTAAATTTATTCTCTGCCCTGTATATTGCATATTGTATTGTGCTTTAAAACAGTGGTTCTCAAACTTTTTACCTATGGCACCACTCCATAAGTTTTTTAGAATTTAGCAGCACTGCTGAGAAACACTGAGCTAATATTTAGCTGGTGCCAGGGGAGGGTGGCAGAAGCAGGGTCATTATGCCCTGCTCCTGGCCTTTACTTAAAGGTGCAAATGCAGCCCCTGCCACCATGGCTCCTGCCCCGGCAGCTGGCATGCTAGCGACTGGAGTAGCCCCTCCTGCTAACCCCGGGAGTTTGGGAACAGCGGGGGATGAACTGGGTTTAAGAGTGCAGCCCTGCATCTGCCCATGCACAGCAGTTTGCTGCTGGGAGGGCAAGAGTGGCCTGGGTGAGAACTACTGGGTGTCAGGGAGCCGCTGCCAGCGCTGCTTGACTGCGGTATCCTGGGACATGTGGCATCAGGCAGGAAGAGAGATCGCTTTCCTCCTGGCACAAGGGCTAGCTGCTGCAGCACCCTTGGGTGGGTCTCACAGCATGCTGGTTGAGAATCTCTGCTTTAAACATTGCTAAAGGCACCAAGGCAAATGCTCTACAATCCTGTACATCACCTGTATAAAAGGCACCCATCCTTGGCTAAGAGAGAAAGCACATCTTCTGGAAGAAGGTAGTAAACAGAGTAGTAGAACTTAACCTGCCTGAAACAGTAAGCTACACATTTTCTTCTCTTGCAAACAGCAAGGCCCTTTGGAAAGGGAGACAATTTGCATTGCAAGGGCGATATTTATGTGTAAAATCTGCCTTCTAAAGAAGCTCATATCTATGGAATTTAGCATAAAAGTCCTTTAACATGCAGACATGGATTGATGCTGTCATCACATTCAAAAAAGCAGGAATGAGAACACCAATCTGTTCACATTCCAGTATGACCGAACACCAGTATGTACCAGTTGCAAAAACACTGTATGTCGAAAAGTAATATGGGGAGAATTGTTCAGCATTGTCTTTGGTCTTCTCAGATGAAGCTGATAATGTTAGGCACCCCAACACCATCCCCTATCTGTAAGATTCTCTATCCCTTCCAAACTGCTCCAAGCTGACTACAGATTTTCTTTTACCAGCTCATTTCTCAAGTTCATGAAGGTCTACAGAATTTTTTCTGGCATCAATACAAAGTTTCAGTTGATATCTGAAGCATCAGAATCAATAGGCACCTCTGAGATAAGTGCCAGAGGACACAAAGGCCCCTAAAAAGGGATTCTGTTTTCTTTTTAGTGAAGAGATAGGTATTTGCAGTTGTGCTTGGATGAAGTTCTCAGGGGTAGTTAAACTAACTCTGGCCATCCTGGATTTGCTTACCTCATTATATGGCTAAGGAAATTGAACATAATGCTAACTGTGTTTTAAAGCATTGACAGTTAACGGAAGCAAAAAGGTAAAATAAAAACCAGCTAAACAATAAAAGATGCAGAAGCTGAAGAAATGGCATATCACATAGAGGGTGACATCCTCATTTCTAGATTTTGATCATTTTTTTTCACAACGTTTTCAGGGATAATGGCTTGGATAACTGTATATTTAAACATAACAAGGAGTTTTCTTGGGAAACAAGTAGTTTTGGGTTTTTTTTTAACATGTTGTTTACATTTGTACAGTACCTACCACAATGAGACTCCATACTTTGCAACAGTGATATGAATATTAAATGATGATAATAACCTTAGCAAAAATACAACCATTTTGAATTTGGGAGTAATGTTCAAAGAATGAAGAATGGTCACAGTTTTAAACCCATCATTCAAAGTCATTATTATATTCTCAGTCACTGTAAAGTGTTTGGTAAACTATTTTCCCAGCCTTACTAAGTGTTAATGTTACTTATGCCCATACTAGATATTTATACACAGGTTTTACACAAAGCTAAAGCCTTCCCGTGCACCAGCATATAGCTTGTCATTTTATAGATGTAGAGGTGCAGGTACCAAACAGTGTGCACTCTGAACCAAGAAAGAAATGTGCACTTTAATGTAAGACTGAAAGACACGTCTCCAAAAGAACAAATGTCCTGAGAGTGTGAGACAAATACAGAGGTTCATTCTAGCACACAACATCCAAGTGGAAAAAACTGTTTAATCCAGCCATCCTGCAT